ATCTATCTATCTATCTATCTATCTATCTATCTATCTATCTATCTATCATCAATCTGTCTTCCCAAGGCAAAGGAGGCAAGTGAAGAACTTACCTCAGGCTCTGCAGCCTGCAGGCTCTGGAAGTCTGCCATGATCTCACGACTCAGGGTCAGCATCCGGGAGTAGCAGGTAGGGGGCGCAGGCTGTACTGCCAGAGGCCAGACCATCACCATCAGCAGCGGCAGCAACAGAGGCAATGTCCGGGGCTCCATTGAGTCTGCTGCCTACAGCTGGGCCAACTGTTCCTTTAAACAGCTGCTGGGGAGATATCCAGAGCTCAGGCTCCCCACCTTTTTCCTGTGGCATCCCTGCCAGGGCCAGGCATCCAAGGAGGGAGGGGCCGGGGACGTGACACGCCTATAGGGTCTGAGACACTGGGTTCTTTCAGAAGGAAACTGTAATAATGGGAGGGGGGAGTTGCAGGGTTGGGGGACTGGAGGCGCCTAGAAGGGAAACAGGCGCTCATTTTCTAGCAGAAATATCTTTCATGACTGAAGCAGCAGTTGAGAGGGTCAGAAGGGAAAGGGGATGGAAGAATGAGAGATTGGGTCAGAGGCCAGGATGAGGAAGTCTTGTCTGGTGTCAGAGCTGGGGGACTGTTTCTTAAGACTGACTGTTCTCCTGGACAGAATTTGGGGTAGAGGAGGGCTAGAGTGCTCTGAATCCTTCCAGTCTGCTGGGCAGTACAAAGGGTAGGACTGGAGTCAGGCAGACTGGGTACCTCATCTACACCCCAGTCACTTGGGTACCTTGTCCAGAGAGCAGCCATTAAGCAGGATGGAGACTATTGGATGTAACTCTGTGTCTGGAGGAGAGACTTCCTTGGGTACATTGTTCAGAGAGCAGCCATTAAGCAGGATGGAGACTGCTGGATGGAGCTCTGGGTCTGGGGGAGAGGCTTTCTCTGTACCTCTTGACTGTGTGACCATCACTGAACCCCCACTAAGGGTTCAGAGGACAGAAAAATAAAAGACTCCATCTTTTTAGTGCTGAAGCAGCCCTGAAAGGGAAAGCACCCACCCTCGGATGCTGAGGTGCAGAATGGCTTTGTCCTCTCTCCGGCGACATTCTCGAACCAATTTCTTCAATCATCTTTGCTTTCCCACCGTTGTGCAATGGGGTGACAAGTGTCCCATGCTCAGGCCACAGTGACAAATAGTCAGGATGCTACCCAGGCCAGGGTGAACTTATGCCAGCCACATCAGGAGTCACCAAGACTTCTGAGCTAATGTTGTGGCCACAGCTAAGGCCTGGCTTGGCCCCAGGAAACAGTCCCAAGGAGTGATAAGGACTCACAGGACCCTGCATGTTGCCTAGATACCAGCACACATCAGGGTGACGGCAGCAGCAGGTGCCATGCGTCACAGTACAGCAGCATAGTGTATGGGTCACTCTATTCCCCAGACGAGAGAGCAGCGGGTCCTGGGGGAGGATGGCACTGGGTAGTGGCGCCAGGACTCCAGGCCCACGTCTGGACCTGTCTGGCACCAAAGCCGCCTGCTTCCAGGGGACTGTCTGAGCTGCCCATTTGATGACCTCAGTGACAGAAACAGAGCATGGTGTCCCAGATGCAGGCAGGACTGAGGTAGCCACAGAGATGAATACCTGGCCCTGTGTTTGTGGGAGAATCCCTCCCCAGACCTGGTGGTTGTTCCCCATCTGTAAACAGGAGGTTTCAGAATGGCAAATGTCTGCCAGGCCCCACATTTTGTTCATCTATTTTCCAGTGTTCAGAGCCCTGGGTAGGGATCATAAGCTGCCCCTTCCTGTTTTGCAGGCAGCAGTGTGTTCCCCCCAAAGCCTTCAGAGAGTTGACCTTGGATGTGGGACCTGGGGAAAACAGTGCTCATTGGGTGGAACGGTGTGGAGTGCTGAGGGCAGATCCCCAAAGACCTCCTTTCCTCTGGGTGTGGAGTCTGCACACTTTGACTTTCCCAGAGCAGGGTCTGTGTGGCTCCTGGCAAATGCATCACCTGGCTAGGGACTGTAGGTCTGTTTGAGATACCCTAGTACTTCTGGATGTGTTAACACTGATCTCAAATCCGGTATACAGTGAGACCCAAACTCAGGCTCCAAACAAGTCCCCTGCAGCATTTTGATATCACACTGCTCGGATGCATAGTCCTGCGTGTGTTTGGCGGAGACAAATGTGTCCTGGGAGGCTGACTGTGCTCCTCTGGGCCACCATGTGTGACTGTGAGCAGGGTCTCTTTCACGATTCAGGTGAGCGCCACGCTCCAGGGTGGCTTCTCGGCCTGGCACTCGGAATTCACACATCCTGTTTATGGATCAAATGAATGGCAGACGGGTCTCATGGTGGACACCGATCCTGGATAAGCTCTGACTGACGCTGGAGCCCTGAGAGTCATTATTCAGTGGTAGACAGGGTACTTAGCCAGGCCCATAGGGACCCCATGTGAGACTTTGTAAAATGACATGTGGGTGTACAGAAAGACACCCCCGCCCCGCAAGTTGAACAAGTGCCTCAGACCACTTCCTGAGAAGACAGCAGAGAAGGGAGAGCCTCCGTGGAGTTCAAGGACTATGGGGGTTCATGTGAGGTACTCTAGCCCCTCTGTGATCACAGAGACATCCTGGGTCCTGAGCATGAGATGTTTTCTGTGTCCTCAAGGATGGTTCCTTCTCCAGGATGAATAGTCATCCTCTGTGTTGTGTGTATGTGCACGCATGTGTGTGTGTGTGTGTGTGTGTGTGTGTGTGTGTGCTGTATGCCCCCCAAGATGCCCCCCATCCCCAACAGTGTCCTAGATGAGGTCCAGACCCCTCTGTAGCATGGACCTCCTTTCTGCCAGGAATGTTGCAGAGTAACAGAGGCCGAGGCCCTCTTAGCAGATACTAGCCGTATTCTCAAGCAGATTCTTCCTGTATTTGCTAGGCACAGTGCCTCCCAGAGTCTCCCGTGGGCCCTGCTGGAGGAAACTGAACCAAAGAGGCTGCTGCCTCACGGAGGGCAGTCGACATATTGAGCAACAGCAGAAACCTGTTTCAGCTCCAAACCCGGTTCCGCTGGCCAGCCTTGCAGCAGCTCCATTCCGTTTGAGACTCGAGGAATGTGGAGGGTGCATGCTTGTGTGTGTGTGTGTGTGTGTGTGTGTGTGTTTGAATGTGCAATGTCCCCATTCAGTGCACATGTTTGAACATGTTTCCCAGCAGGTGGGACTCCTTGAGTGGTTGTGGAGCCTTTAGGACAATGGTTCTCAACCTGTGGGTCATGACCTCTTTGGGCGTCTCATAACCCTTTCACAAGGGTCACATATCAGATATCCTGCACATCAGAGATTTACATCAAAATTTATAACAGTAGCGAAATTATAGTTATGAAGTGACAATGAAATTTTATGGTTGGGGTCACCACTTCACGAGGAACTGTATTAAATGGTCACAGCATTAGGAAGATTGAGAATCACTACTTTAGGAGGTGGGGCCTAGCTGCCAGAAATCTACACTGGTGGCAAGCTCCTGTCCCCTCTTCGCTTCCTGGTCTGCTTGCTCTGTGAGGTGCTCTACCACAGGCTCCTGCTCCTGGCTGAGCAGCGTTGTTGTTGTTGTTGTTGTTGTTGTTGTTGTTGTTGTGCCTGTCCTGCCATGTTGAATGGACTGCGGCAGTCCAAAACCACGAACAACAGGCATGTTTCCTCTTTGAGGTTGTGTTTGTCAGGTATTTGGCTGATGAGAAAAGTCTCTAGTGTAGACTGGAGGCCTAGAGGTCATCACACACTGCAGAGTATTTGACGCTGTGTGAAGATGTATTGCCGTGATCCATGGAACAGAAAAGATGAACAGCCAATAGTGAGGCAGGAGGTAGGGGCAGGACTTCCGGGCAGAGAGAGAACTCTGAGAAGGAGGAAGGCGGAGTCACCTTCAGACTCGAAGGAAGCAGGTTGGAGTATGAGATGAGGTAACACAGAGAATATAAATGGGTTAATTAAGTTATAAGAGCTAGTTGAGAACAAGTCTAAGCTAAGGCTGAGCTTTCATAATTAAAGAAGTCTGTGTCGTTATTTGTAATCTGGTGGTTCCAATGAGAGAGTACTGCTACATATGACACTCATGGGATGCCAGATGTAACGGTTACCTAAATTATTCTATCATTAATAAAAACTTGGGAGTCACATATGGGGTTAGAACCTGATTAATCAGACAAGTGGTAGAGAAGCGACCAGTGACCTCCCCTCTCTCTCCGTCCTTAATCCAAAAAAGGCCTGGACATCTTTCTAAGCCTCTCCCTATTACTTCCCGTGTCTCTCTCTATGTGCTTGGTCCTTTAACGCCTCTATGGCTAATTTTGGTCAGCTCTGCTTTCTGATTCAAGGTAAACCTTATTGTCACAGTGGAGTGGCAGTGTGCACAAGTCTCCCACAGCAATCATAATGTTCATTATGCTCACAGAAGGAACACTCTTCTGGAAACATCTCCCTCAGCTTAACTTCAGATGTGTTTTGAAGTCCTCTCTAAGAGCCACAGTGAACCATAATTACTGCTGTACACATGAAGAGGGGAGTTAAGTCATGAGAGCTATGTCCTCAGAAATGGACTAAGGCCCCTGACTCGGAATGGGGCTAGTTGTCATGCATAGGCTAATTAGAGTTCCCTGTCTACTGTCTTTTCTACCCTGTTCATGGGCCCTCTGCTTTCATCATGGGAGACCCCAATACAACAGATGCCAGTGTTGTGCCTTGGACTTCTTGGCTTCTAGAACTAAGAACCAGATAAGATTCTGCTGTTTGTAAGCTACCTAGATTTGGGTATTTATTAAAGTTACAGAAAGCCGGTGATGGCAGTGTGAATTCTCCATTCATGAGCTCAGGTTTTCAGGGCTTGGGTCCTTCTTAGCCATTCAGGAGGAAGAACGTTTGGCTTTCCTCTTGTCTGTTCAGATGGGCATGCTCTAGCAAGTGATGCTGGTGGCCAAGGTGCTCAGCCCCAAGGGGTTATGGAAAAATCCTGATAAGACCATAAAAAACACGAAGTCACTATGTAACTTGGCTGGAACACAGAGCATTTATCCCAAGAGCTCTCTGTGGCTCCTGTCCTATGGTCATTATAAAGGATGGCCACGTCAATATCAGCTCTTCTCTGTTGTCTCATCCCCAGCCAGGGATCATCATGGCCAGTGATAAAGGGGTCCAGGGCAGGAGACAGCACACTGTATCAAAGCCAGCACTGAAGGACACCTCCATAGTGAAGAGAT